CAGAAGAGAGAACGGCAAAATGGTGTCCACCAAGGAAAATAAGAACGAAAGAAGATGTGGTGTAAACGAGAGGTCATGTCCAATCGAAGACTCACCAATGTTACGATACATTTGGCTGGTATATCAGGTTTGCAGCCCCAACAAAGACTACGCAGACCTAATCACGACACCCAGGCGAACGCTAAACTGCCAGTATAGCCTGCGTTTTAGGACCTAGCAGCAACCATACTGATTCAGAAATAATCCTTGATCTAATAATCCTTGCGTTTCATCACCGCAGCATTTTAGACAGTATCTGCCAGGTCCCGCATGAATAAGCTCCGCCCCCTCTTATTTTTGTTTGTTTCAGTTTAAAAAAAAAAAAACTTTTTTATTTTTTTGGCCTTTATTTATACAGGTGAAAATCTCATTGAGACACAGGGTCTCATTCTCAAGAGAGACCTGTTGATACCCAGAATCAGCACTTTTGTAACAGGAAGAGAAATAGCGGGATATGAGGCATGACTAGAATGGGTGATCTGTTTGGTTTTTGACCAAAACACTTCATAGACATGTTTTTTATATATTTGTATATATCTGACCTATGCTATTGCCTAAATATAGCATGATAGGCGACCTTTAAAGCCCATTAGCCGTAAAGCTAAGAGGGATGTAATTTTGAATATTGACTAGAAAAGAACATCAATAAATCCTTGTGTCCTTAGTGGGGAAGAAATTAAGTGAGAACCTCCCCTAGTTAATTGCACTTGACTGAAAGTGTGATGCTTAAATCCAAGCAAAGATGTAATACATCGTCTAACTTTGCATCACCATTTATATAAGATTTATTTAATAAAAACCGAAAAAATTTTTTTTTTAAACTGACTATTAAAAAAAATAGAAACTTACCCAAAAAAACTTAAAACTGACTATGACAAAAGAAAAGACTGACTATAAAAAAAGAAAAACTGCAGCAGAGTCAATAGCAATTAATCATCAACACAACCTTTCTAAGAGTTTAAAGTTTAACTTCAAACTGCAGCATTTGAAATGCACTTTTGAAGCTCTGCAGTTTGTTTGTGTCCTTAAGCTTTACAGCTGTGTGTAAAGACAACATTTGATTAAAAAGCACTTACATTTAATGATATCATTTCAGACTTTCTTTTCAATTGATGTAGTTTACTATCAATCTGGACTAATAGTGGTGTGTTATGATAGGACACTGACTCGAAAGATCACCACAACCTCACACCCGTGCATTAACAAATAAATAGTCATAAAAAAACAATACAAGTAAAGAAACGTTTTACTTGGAAACCATGACCTGCTTGTGCTTTTATTTGCTCTGCTTCTACTCACGCTAGGCTATTATATACAGTATATTGTCGCTTGCACACATTTCGACACTTCTCCACATCCAGGCTGCATCTATGTTTCTATCAAATCTTTTCCTCATGTCTCCTCTGCTATCGGATTGTTTTTTGCAATGACCAAAACGTGTTACAACGGCCAAAAATATTTACAAGGTGGGAAACGCGCAGCAGTTTCCTAAAAGTTGCAAATACAAAAACACGTTTGGGGATTATAAAGTTGGCCAATTGTCACTGTCGCTGAAAACATCCATAAAATGTACGTTTATTTACGCTTATTTTAACGATGTCATAGAAGGATTATTTCAGATATAATTGCAGATCTGCTGTAAGCTAGCTAACTTAAATGTTCTGGTCTTGTAAAATATCATGTCTTTTAAAACATTGAAATGTATATTTCCAACAGAACTCTTTACACCACGGGTACCTTGATGATGGCCTTCTCGACTGCGGGTGAAAAACGTTTCTCTGTCTTGTTGTTTTGTAATCACTAATGGTCTACGTAAGTAATCTTACGTCTGTTGTTGCTCTTTTATTTTCATCAGCTTTATCAAACCTGATGTTCCCAGCTCTCGCCCTCATGGCGTCGGGTGGCAACATGTTTCTACTGACCAACTTGCAGGTACTAAAGCTGTCTCTGAGATAAAAGAAAATGTAAAGTCCATCCATCAGGACATTGTTTAACCTCTCATGTTCAGACTCTTAGATTGAGATGAGGCTTGATCAATCCTTCCTATGTTTCAGAATCAGACTGTGGCTAATATATTTGCTTTTGCCTTAACATTTTGGACATATTTGAGATTTTTCTCCTGTAAACACAGGATCAAAACCATACCTCTAAGTCATATAACGCCTTAGAACTTAGACTGTGAAACACAGTTATCAGAGCTTTTTGGAAGCATAAGAGGATTGATGTTCAAGATCTGATTTTTCACAAGCTTTGAAACCTTTAAACATCTGTCCTCAATGCATCACTTAACAGGAACCCAACCAAAAAAAGGAGTTTTCCCTCACACTTTTCTTAGAAACCGAGTCCTAAAGGGTAATGTTTAATTCAAATGATGCAGTAGAAAACCACATCATCATATTCAAACAAGAAATTAAAATCATCAAAAAAAATGTTTGTATTCATCTCATGAAGTTAGGAATCTTGTTCGGGTCACATCGCTCCACTGTCATCACTCTCTATAACGGGTCCATTGGCTCTTCATCCGCGCTCTTCCTTGTCATTAAGGTAAGAAACACTCGCTCACTATTTTCGTATATTTGCAATATATTCAAACACTATCATGTTGTAACAATGACCTTGTTGTTCTGTTTTGCAGCTGTTGCATGAGGCTGGCATCTTTTTCCTCCCCTCCTTCCTCTTCCTCTCCGCCTGCAGCGTCCTTCACCTGCTCAGGACTTTCTTCCTGCTGCCCCGAGGCAAAATTCCCCACCCTCTGCCTGATGGCTACACATGCGGGTACAGATACAAAAATCACACACGCCCACACATCAAGAGAATACTTTTTGATCTGTGCTCTATGTTAGAAGTTCTTGTTTACTGTATAGACATCAGAGCAATGTGAGTTGATAGTATTCAGAATATGTTATTTTGTATATCTATTATTTTGGGTGCTCCTTTCACAGAGATTAATGTATTATTCATATGAAAAAGCTGCAAAACATTGAGCTTTCATGTGTACACTTGTGATCAAATCACCCCAGACGCATGCTAATCCCAGGTGTAAAAAGGGCCCTTGTCACCTTTGATCTTTGTCAGGATAACCTGTGGTAAATCAAAGACTCTGAGCTTGGAGCAGATAACAGCGGAGGGTAACAATCAACCGACAACAGAGGATGTCAAGGACGTCCCTGTGGGTCAAGGTCTGTTCACTTCAAATCGCACAGATATTTAAAACAGGATAAACTAATCAAATATTCTATCTGTCTTTATTTTTGTTCTTTCCTCATCTTCATCCATCTCTACGGTCTCCTCTTGTCTCCCTCAGAGAAGAGTTTACGTGAGTGTTTGAAGTCCAGGCTCTTCTGGTGGCACCTGCTGTGGCTGTCAGTGATGCTGCTCAGACATTACCTCTACATCGGCACCCTCAACCCCATGCTGCATCGGCTGACGGATGGAGATCCTTCACTTGGTAAACATGCACAAACACTACCTTTTGTCTGATTGTCTAAGCAAATTTCCTGCAAACCTTCCTTATCATACCGTCTTTCCGCCTTGGTAACCACAGCACATAGTCTCTGGCAGAAATAAACTCATTCACATTGGAAAACTTGGCAGATTATCACAGCCAACACCTTCAAAAAATCCAGCAAGACCAGCTGGATCAAGCACCACCGTAAGAGCCAGAGTATAAGAGAGTATAGGCCGCCCCAGTATGGACCTTGGGCTGTTTAACTACCCAGCATGCTCCTTGCTAATATCTGGTTAACAGTGAATTAAAACGGATGAATTATGACTCTGACTGGCTCAGCAACAAGAAACTGACTGCCCACATCTTGCAGGAACCGGGCTACAAGGTGGCATCCCTGATCAACTTGTTCTGCTTCATGATTCCTGTAGTACGAGGGATGTTAGACTCTGAAGGACATTTTTGTTTCTAACTATCTTGTCCTTGCTTGTGTGTCTCACAGTGAGCTGGTACACCGATGCCTTTGCTATAACACAGCTGTGTGGTGTGTTGTGTGCTCCATGGAATGGCCTCATCTTCGACAGAAACAAGGGCAAACCTAGCACTGAAGGTAACAACATTCTAAAAAGAGCTTGTAATAAACCCAACATGAGAAAGACATGGTGTCCTAAAGTGAGACCCATCTCAGGGCACAAGACAGCACAGTCAGTGGGCCCTTACCATATAGTGAATAAAATATGATCATGTTCAGCGTGCCTACGTCATTAAAGGGATTAGTTGCGGCTGAGTGCTCTGGTCTGTATGTATGGAGATGTCAGCAGAGTTTCTCTTTAAAGGAACAGGTGTGTGTTGTATTGTGTGCATCTGTAGGAGAGAGTGAACAGGAAGCAGATCTGAGGGCCTCAGTACTTTCTCTCTTCCTGACGGCGCTGCAGTGTGTGTTGTTCTCAGTCTGTGCCTGCATCCCCTCCCTGCCGCTTCAGTACTTCACATTTGTCCTGGAGGTAATCAACCGCTCTTTCCTCTTTGGCGGCAACGCAGCTTTCATCAATGTGGCGTGAGTATCAAACACACATACGACCACATACAAATTAATTCAGGACACAGCATGTTCTTGAGGCATGCAGCACACATACACCATTCAGCAACTTTCATAAATAACCTGACCATTGTGTACCCATCAATCACACTGGATAATACATTTAAAGGATGTTTGTTGATGTATTTGTCTACAACTTCTGCTGTTAACCATCCACAACTAACTGCTGGCGTATGTGCTTCAAAACGATAGGTGTCCCGACTCTCATGCTAAAGAGTCTTGAAAAAGGGTTACACAATGTTGTATTGTTGTGATCATAATGTATGATGAGGGATATGCTGTAAAGCGTAATGTTGATGTATATGAGCTTCTCTGGCTGTATTTATGTTTTAAAAAACTCATATATCCAATTAAGGAGAACTGAAGCTCATTGAGTTTGTTCTATCCCACCAAAATGAGGATTGACCTGAAGTAGACGTTTTCTACATCATGTGTTCTTATTTACTTGTAGGCTCGTTCATTATATGGGTTTTAAGTGGACAATTTTGTAAGTGTTACCTTCATCTAAGATTGTTTTAAATACTTGATCGGTGTGTGTGTGTGTGTGTGTGTGTGTGTGTGTGTGTGTGTGTGTGTGTGTGTGTGTGTGTGTGTGTGTAGTTTCCCGTTGTGCCACTTTACGAAGCTGTATGGCCTGGTCCTGGCTCTA